AATACAAATGGGACTTATTCAAAAATATAAGAATCATAGCTTTTTTCCATTTAACACCATTTCTCCTCATTAGTCTTGATACATAGGCTGTAAAATCATATAAAATGAAGACAAATCCATCTTCTGATTTATGCTGATCACGGAGAGGCTTCTGATGACAGAAACTAGGCCATATTTTCAGCTATATCGGTTGATTTTTTTGCGCTACATTTATTGTTATGATTAACGTAATCTATTACCCCGTTATTGTACCAATACATGAGCTTTGCGAATAGACAAAAGCTTCGTCAGCCCAGCCTCTTAGCTTTCGTGAAAATTGGTTTTATTCTCATTCAATTTGATTTGGCAAAGTTTCAAGGGCCCATTTCCTATGAAAAACTCTAAATTTTGCCCCTCAAACTCTACGAGGCACCATTTTTCGAAATATTTATTTGACCTAGTTTGCATACGTCTTAGTTGACATAGCAGCTAGATGAGTCAGCTCTGGCGACAGCTGAAGCATGTATTGTCAGCTGTGCTCCAATTTGCCTTGAAATTCGTGTTGGCTGTACAATTCCATTGACTGACTTTTGTTCTTAATGGTCATCATTTTTTACGACACTATAAGAAACCGGTACATGTTTGCAATAGTCGAGTTGCGGTTAATAGGGCAAAAAATAATCTCCCAATTTGATGCATGAATAGTCTCAGCAGGATGTGTATGCTGATGATGTGTAGAGGGGACCATAAGGCTAGAGGCTTTATGAAACATTTCAGTATCGTAGATATGAAGACCAAGATGGTATGGCCTTTCGATTAGTCGCAGTCTCCTTCAGCTGTATAGTGTTTTCGTTTTCGCAACTTGGTTGTGGCAAGGAGGGACCTCGTGGAATCTATCTAGTCCTGCGTCCTCTTCGAAGTTATTAATAAGTTGCCAGCATCGGCCAGTTGACTTGGTGCATTCCCAGAATATTTGTCGGCACCGCCAACGAGGGGTGCCAGGTGAACTTCAACACAGAGTTACAACCTACTAAAGTGGCAAATAGAGGCAATTCTTTTAACCCATCATCTGTTCAACCGTTGTGGTATCACTCCTTGCCCCCATTTTTCGTTCTACCTTCTAGTTCTGTATATCTTGCTTTCAATCCCACTTTATATCTACCAGTTATCTCTTCACACAATTTTGCCCCCAATGTCGACTAAGAGTGTGCCGCTTTAAATGGATTTGACGAAGTATAACCATCTTCACCAACGGTTTCAGATACTGTTTGCAGGGCTTATGACTTTCATTTAACCTCTACTTTCTGACCTTTGATTTACTATAAAACACGGGGACCCACACCAGCAACTTCAAGCCGATTCTAGGGTTGACTCCTCTCAATGCAATCGTCATTTACTTAATTCATTTTTTCCCTCATAATCCTCGCCTTAGCGATGTCTCTTTCGATTGTCGAATACTTGTCACTGGTCCAAACGTCTTCTTTTTGCTGTCCTCGCTGCATCTCCAAGTTTACACAGGCAGTGTGCGAAATTCTCCCCGACTCTTCCCCATTCCAACCTCGTGTTCGCCAGGTTTTGTGAAAGAGAATGTCCACGGCCTCCCTGATCTTCCGTTTTTGGTGTTCTCCCCATTTGAGTCCAATCTTTCCGTTGCCCTCCAGCCAATTGTGTGGCCGGTAAGAGTGATGTGCTCAGCTATCTCTAATTTTTCCCC